CTTAGTTGTAGTCTTTTCGCAAGGCCCAAGTGTTTCTGCTTCACTCTGTGTACTCCGACGTCGAGGTGCTAACGTCTCTGTTAAACACTTTAAAAAACTCTGAAAATGGAATACGAAAGGTGGATTCTTGAGGAGGACATATTGGACTTTGAGTTTGACGGTAGAGGATACCGTCGCCAACTAGTGGTCTGGAGTGTGCAACGCTTCAGATTCGAACGGGAAGCGGAAGTTTATAAGCGGTTGTGATGTATCGGAAAAAATAGTTCTGGGATTTACAAAATGCTAAATAAAACAAGACAGGAACGGTTTTTCTTCACGAAACTTTTTTTGGAACGTCATTGAACAGCGCTGACGACCCGGTGAGTAGCATATTTTAAAAATTCAATTCAATTCAATTCAGTTTATTTATATAGCGCCAAATTCACAACACATGTCATCTCAAGGCACTTTACAGTTCAACCAGATCATACAGTCAAATTGATACAAAGTTTTCTATCTAAGGAAAACCAGTTGATTGCATTGACTCATTGACTCAAATACAATACCCCACACTAAGCATGCTTGTAACGACAGTGGAGAGGAAAAACTCCCTTTTAACAGGAAGAAACCTCCAGCAGTACCAGGCTCAGTGTGAGCGGCCATCTGCCGAGGCCGACTGGGGTTCAAGGAGACAGAAGCAGAGATACAAAAAGCAGCTGTAAAAGGCGGCCCCGTCCAGGAAACACACAGCCAGGCAGACGAGCTCCAAGGCAGCTCCCATGCCAGAGGACGAAGAGAGCACATCCACTCAGTCACGGTCAGAGAAACAGGACCACACTGGAAAACAGGCCGATCTCCAACATCTATTAACAAGGGTGTTGATGGAAGCAGCACAGCTGATGTTTCTTTCCAGGATGACGTCACAGCCAAACAGGAACAGACGAGGCAAAGCTACTCTGAGGAAAAGCAGAGAGAGCAGAAGGTTAGAGATTGAACTAACAGATTCTGCAGAATAGGAGAACAGAGAGAGAATGAAGCAGAATGATGAAATGGGGGTCCCTATGTCCTCCAAAAGTCTAAGCCTATAGCAGCATAACTATAGAGATAGCTCAGGATAACCTGAGCCACCCTAACAATAAGCTTTATCAAAAAGGAAAGTTTTAAGCCTAGCCTTAAAAGTAGACAGGGTGTCTGCCTCACAGACTAAAACTGGTAGTTGGTTCCACAGGAGAGGAGCCTGAGAACTAAAAGATCTGCCTCCCATTCTACTTTTAGAAATTCTAGGAACCACTAGTAAACCTGCAGATTGAGAGCGAAGTGCTCTGTTAGGAACATAAGGAACAATCAGATCTCTGATATCAGATGGAGCTTGGCCATTTAAGGCTTTATATGTGAGAAGGAGGATTTTAAATTCTATTCTTGATTTAACAGGAAGCCAATGAAGAGAAGCCAGGATAGGAGAGATATGATCTCTCTTTTTCATTTTCATTAGAACTCTGGCTGCAGCATTTTGGATCAGCTGAAGGCTTTTAACTACAGTTTGTGGACTTTCTGATAGTAAAGAATTACAATAGTCCAGCCTTGAAGTAAAAAATGCATGGACTAGTTTCTCAGCATCACCCCTGGACAGGATATTTCTAATTTTTGCAATGTTCCTCAGATGAAAGAAGGAAATTCTAGAAACCTCTTTGATATGGGATTTAAATGACAGGTCCTGATCAAAAATAACACCAAGATTTTTTACTTTATTATCTGAAATCAGTTTAATCCCATCCAAATGAAGTGACTGACTAATCAGTTTCTTTTTCAGAGACTCTGGTCCAAAGACTATAACTTCTGTTTTGTCTGCATTCAGAAGCAGAAAGTTAAGAGTCATCCAGGTTTTTATGTCTTCAAGACATGCCTGTAATCTATGTAATGGGTTAGCTTCATCTGGATTTATAGACAGATATAGCTGGGTATCATCAGCATAACAGTGGAAATTAATCCCATGCTGTCTAATAATTCTACCAATTGGGAGCATGTATAAAGTAAAGAGAATTGGTCCTAGCACTGATCCCTGTGGTACTCCACAGGTAACCTTTGAGCGTGTTGAAGATCTATCATTAACATGAACAAACTGAATTCGATCAGATAGATAAGATTTAAACCAGTCTAGTGCTGTTCCTTTAATTCCAACAAAATATTCAAGTCTTTCTAAAAGAATATTATGGTCAACTGTATCAAATGCAGCACTAAGATCCAACAGGACGAGCACAGATACAAGTCCATTATCTGAGGCCATGAGAATATCATTAGTGACTTTCACCAGAGCTGTTTCAGTGCTATGATGAGCTCTAAAGCCAGACTGAAACTCTTCAAAAAGTTCATTATGGTGGAAGTGATCGCAAACTTGTTTGGCAACTACTTTCTCAAGAATTTTGGATAAGAAAGGAAGATTGGATATAGGTCTATAATTGACCAAGTCATCTGGGTCAAGAGACGGTTTCTTAAGCAGAGGTTTAATTACAGCAATCTTAAAAGCTTTAGGTACATATCCCTGTAACAGAGATAGATTAATCACATCTAAAATGGAGGAGGAGATCAAAGGAAATACCTCCTTAAATAACCTGGTTGGAACTGGATCTAACATACAAGTTGAAGGCTTAGATGAAGACAATAATTTTGCTAATTCAGAGAGTTCAACTGGATCAAAGCAGTCTAAACCCGGTTCAGATTCCATGACTACCTCAGGTACAATCGCGGATAGAGGAGTGCTTATGATCTTATTTTTAATAAGATCAATCTTATTTATAAAGAATCCCATAAAATCATTGCTGCTAAGAGCAGGTGGAATGGACGGTTCAACAGAGCTATGGCTCTGGGTGAGTTTGGCAACTGTATTAAAAAGAAATCTAGGATTATTCTTATTCTCCTCTATTAATGAGGAGAAGTATGCTGCTCTTGCTTTACAAAGGGTCCTCTTATACAGCAGTAAACCATTTTTCCAGACTAGGAAGGACTCCCGCAGGCCTGTGGAGCGATATTTTCTCTCCAGTTTCCTAGCATTTTGCTTCAAAGTACGCAGCTCTGCATTAAACCAAGGAGCAAGCTTTCTATTTTTAACGGTTTTCATTTTCAAAGGAGCTGCGTTGTCTAAGGCAATACGCAGAGAACTAGCAACCCCATCAACAAAATCATCAACCTGTGAAGGGGAATAAGCTAAGCTTTTGCACTCTGCAGCACTGCTCAGTGACACAGAGCAGAGAGAAAGTGAAGCAGATTCTTTAAAATTTATAACTGCACTATCTGATAAAGATCTACTAAAATTGAACCTTCTTTTGGGGGAGGAGAACTCTGTTAAAGTAATCCTGAAGGTTATTAGAAAGTGGTCAGAGAGGACAGGGTTGTGAGGAAATACTGTTATTTCTTCACATTCTATGCCGTATGTCAGCACAAGATCCAAAGTATGAAGATGAGAATGCGTGGGACTATTCACATTTTGAACAAAGCCAATAGTGTCTAAGATAGCATTAAAGGCTGCTCTTAAGCTATCGACTTCAATGTCAGCATGGATGTTAAAATCTCCCACTATGATGACCCTGTCAGTATTTAATACCAAATCAGAAAGGAACTCTGAAAACTCATCTAAAAATTCAGAGTAAGGACCTGGTGGACGATACAAAGTTACAAAAAGAAGAGGTTTTCTTGCCTTGAAATTTGGATCAGGGAAATTAAGGGTTAAATGTTCAAAAGAGTTGTAGGTATTAACTGTTTTGGGAGTAATCAGTAAGTCAGACTGGAAGATTGTTGCTACTCCTCCTCCTCGCCCAGAACTTCTGGGGATGTGAAAATTTAAATAGCTTGAAGGAGTTGCCTCATTTATGCTCACATAATCCTCTTGCTGCAGCCAGGTTTCTGTAAGGCAAAACAAGTCAATGTGATTATCACAAATCAAGTCATTAACTAGTAGACTTTTAGAGGAAAGCGATCTTATGTTAAACAGACCGCATTTAATTGTTTTAACTTTTTCCCCAATTGGAGTTATTTTGATTTTAATTAGATTATCATGATTTACTCCTTTGGGAATCTTTGCTAATTTATTAGATTTTGGTCGTGGGCAAGACACTGTCTGGATGGAGTAAAGAGTGGGTAACAGTAGAGAAGCTGCAGAGATGTGTGTTAAACTACAACTCTGCTTCCTGGTCTGCACCCTGGGTGGTCAGGGTTTTGGAGGACTAATAAATGTGGCCAGATTCCTAGAAAGAAGAGCTGCACCATCCAAAGTGGGATGGATGCCGTCTCTCCGAATCAGACCAGGCTTTCCCCAAAAGGATTGCCAATTATTAATGTAGCCCACGTTGTTTTCAGGGCACCACCTAGACAACCAGCGGTTGAATGACGACATGCGGCTAAACATGTCATCACTGGTCAGATCAGGGAGGGGACCAGAGAAAATTACGGAGTCCGACAAAAAAAGAACGTTTAAGGTTGTTTTAAGGACATTATCGGACATGCACTATGGAAGCCATTCTGAAGCAGCCAGGGGGGGATTCTGCATGAGCCAAATAGCAGAGACAGGACCAATCGTCAAAATTTTGGTGTCGATCATTCGATTTCATCTTGGACACTACAGAAAATGGGCTAAAAGTGTTAAAAACCGGAATTCTCCTTTAAAGATGAGCAAAATTATTCAACTTTGAACTAATAATAATTTCACTAAACAACATAGAAAACCATAGAAAAGCTAAACTCCTCCTTCATCAGGTTGGTTTAGGCTGCGTCCAGGAAGTAGTCCTCTCCCTGTCAGCTTCCGCCGCAGCGTGAGCAGTGGAAACAACAAGGAAGACAGGTGGTCGGTTTGGTCCTGATGAAGGTTTGCGTGCAGCCCACACCCTGACTCTGCCGCATGAAGCCCTGCTTCTCTAACAGCTGTGCTGCTGAAAAGCACGCCGCCCTCAGAAGGCGGAGCTCGCCTCCCGTTCAGTTTGTCAGGAATCTTTCTCCTCATGGTGTTTATGAACCTTTGTCCATCCCTGCAGGTATCCGGGTGCTGGTGGATGCACGGGAAAAGCTCCACATCCCATGGGGGAACCCATCCAACCAGCAGCATGGAGACAACATGATGGCGTTCGATACCCGTTCCGCCGTGGCCCATGGTCGGGGGATGGTTCAGCCCAAAGTGTTCCAGCACTACCTGCCGTCTATCCGCGCTCTGTGGGCGGACCAAGGCATCCAGAACGCCTACGACCGCCGCCGCGAGTTTCAGCTGGTGAGTGAGAAACGGCTTCTGGTTTCGCTCCACTTTGACCAAAGCGGCGTGCCCTTTGACCCGCCTTCTGATCGGGTTGGTCTTCATTGGATATGTTTAATAACAGAGGGAACTGATCCAATGTTGCTGAAAGCCGATTTGCTGAGTTCTCTACCTTCAGCCTTGTTTTAATCAGCCTTTTGAAACCGTTCTGAGCTCAGAAACCAAGATAACTGCTGAGTTAACTGGAACGCAACTGAACCGAACAGAGCTAAAGCTAGTGCTAGCTCAACAGTAGGACTCGGCACGATCATCTGTGGCTCGGTTCTTTGATAACAAAGATCAAATGAGCAGAACGTCTCCTATTTCAGTTCTATTCAGTTTATTTCTATAGCTCCAATTCACATCACGTCATCTCAGGTCACTTTCCAGTTCACCAGATCATCCAGTCACATTGATTCAAAGTTTTCTATCTAAGGAAAACCAGCTGATTGCATCGACTCATTGACTCTTCAGCAATCCCTCACACTAAGCATGCTTGTAGCGACAGTGGAGAGGAAAAACTCCCTTTGAACAGGAAGAAACCTCCAGCAGAACCAGGCTCAGTGTGAGCGGCCATCTGCTGAGGCCCACTGGGGTTCAAGGAGACAGAAGCAGACATAGAAAAAGAAGCATAGATACAAAAGGCAACTGTCAACCAGCTCCACAGGCGGCCCCGTCCAGGAAACACACAGCCAGGCAGACGAGCTCCGAGCCAGCTCCCATGTCAGAGGATGAAGAGAGCACATCCAGTTAGTCACAGTCAGAGAAACAGGACTACACTGGAAAACAGGCCAAGCTCCAGCATCTAGAAACAAAGGTGTTGATGGCAGCAGCACAGCTGATATTTCTCTCCAGGATGGAGTCACAGCCAAACAGGAACAGACCAGATGAAGCTACTATGAGAAAAAGCAGAGAGAGCAGAACGTTAGAGATTGAACTAACAGATTCTGCAGAGTGGGAGAATAGAGATAGAATGAAGCAGAATGATGAAAAAGGGGTCCCTATGTCCTCCAGCAGTCTAAGCCTATAGCAGCAGAACTATAGAGATAGCTCAGGATAACCTGAGCCACTCTAACTAGAAGCTTTATCAAAAAGGAAAGTTTTAAGCCTAGCCTTAAAAGTAGACAGGGTGTCTGCCTCACGGACTAAAACTGGTAGTTGGTTCCACAGGAGAGGAGCCTGAGAACTTTTTACAGTCAGCTGACTCATTTTGCGGGTTTTCTGGCGTGTCCGGCTTAGTAATTCACAGATCTGTTCACAACTAGGGGTGGGTATTGCCAAAGAAGTCACGATTCGATTCGAATCACGATTCACAGGCCACGATGCGATTCTATCACGATGCATCACGATACTTGAATTATTGCGATGCATTGCAATATTTTCTCCTCCATGTTTTGTTTTTGAATGACTATGCACAGTATCCCGCGGCCAGAAATGCTTGTGACACAAGGCAGCGTGCGTCAACACATTTGCAGCGACATCTACTGGACTGGAAGTTGTATTACACTTGTTTTTGGCTCATGTTCGCCAACCATTCATGCAATTTTATTTATTCATTTTTTTAAATTAATAATCGATACTTGGCGTCAAGAATCCATGCAGTAGATCACGAAAATTAGAATCACGATGCATCATCATGACGATTATTTTGCACACCCCTATTCACAACACGAACTTGATCTCAGCTTATTAACAATAAATCACATCAGAAGGTGCGGTGTGACCTGGGCTGATCCAGGGACAGACGCTCTCATTCAAATTTGACGCTATCCAGGCACATAAGGTCCTGTTATGGGTGCAGAGATTTTTGTTTGCGTAATTCTCACCTTGAGAACTTTAGTATGGTGGACAGCTGATAGGAGGCGAGGAACCGTGCTAGCGTGATGTTAGAATGGTCGTAAGAACCAAGCTGGGGTTAACTGAACGCGGCACAGATCGGTTTCAGAGGGCCTACATGGCCACAGGTACAGCAGCATCGTTCCTCCAACGCGTCGCTGTCACACGACCGCTGCCTCCCTAAAAACAGGTTCATCGCTGGCGTTTCATACAGAAGTGTCTGTAGAGTTCAGGAGTTTCAGGGAGAGGAGGAGGGGGGAGAGAAAGCACCGTGCTGCCGCTCCCTAGCCTCACCTGCTGCAGCAGAAGCTCCCCAGCAGTTAGAGGATGTCTGACTAGATGAGGAGTAACCATGAAGACGCTTAAACGCCACAGCATCAGTGGATCAGAGCTGCAGGCCTGTAGTCTGGCAGGAAGGAACGCCGCAGCTCCACCGATGGACGAAGATCTGAGTGAGAACAGAATCCAGAAGGTCGCAGGCAGAGCGGAGGCGGGTCTGACTCCTCAAACATTTCCATCTAACACTAGAACTACCAAGGCCGCCATTTTGATGGATCGGAGATTTTGGAGTGAAGTAACTTTATTTACATTAATCATGTGTTGCTCGTGTTAACTGACTTTCTATATTTCCTTCATTTTCACCTAGTTTAAAAAAAAAATAAGGTAAAAAATAAATAAGTTAATTTTACCTCTATTAGTTGCATTGTAAATTCTTTCTGCAGTTGATTGACGTTCTGTACCGTTGCCTAGCAACCAACATTCTACATAGAGCTCTTTGGCTAAACAGAAAAATTAACCTGATAAACCAGACTAAATATGAGATGAATGAGACATCAGAAGATTGTTGATGAAAACAACCCGTTGTTTTTCAAACCATGTCTGTGCCTATTGGCCAACGCTCTGACCAATGAGAGCAGCTGACTGTGACGTAGGAAGCGCGACAGAAAGCTGGTGGGGGAGTGGAAACAGATTGTTGGTAAAACGGCGAATACAACCTTCTATGACTATGCAGAGAGAGGGTCGCTGCAGACGGGCTGCCGTTAGCCCTGGCTGCTGTTAGCCTCAGAGCTCCGCTGGTTGCCGCAGTCCTCTCAGCTTTTTAATTACGCATTAAATCGGTAAATGTTCCATATAGTGAAGTTTTAAAGTATAATATTCTCGCCTCAAATGATCTTAAAAGTACTTTTATTGAACAACAGCAACAGAAAGAGAACTTTTAGCTTCCAATGGAGCGCTCCATTTGAAGCTGCTGCTATCGCAGTGAATGCTACTGCGTCTCACAGCTCTGCTGTCAGGCCCTCAAACCCCGCCCACTTCGCATCCAGACATTCAAAACACATCTCTGCGTTGTGATTGGCCCACCAGTTCTAGGGCCTGGGGCATTGATGGAGGCTAGACCACTGCAGGCAGAAATGATTTTAGTCACTAGCTGTTGGGGCTAGTTTACTAGGCTACAGGAAAACGCCTTTCAGAAGAAATCTAAGAGTGAAACCGGCTTTAGAAATGCTTCAAAATATTGATGATGGCAACTCAGGAGGAGTGGAGAGACCGATGAGGAGGACTGGGTAGGAAGCGGCTCAGATTATGACAGCGAGTCTGAGGATGATCAACGAAGACGTATCGGTGACCCATCGGACAATAGTGATAGGTCTGCTTACACCTGAGCTGGCCACGGCCAAACAAGAGCCTGTGGGCCACTATAACCACTAGGGGTGTGGGAAATAATCGTTTTGGCGATATATCGTGATATCCGGCTGCCCAATATAATATCGATCTTTCACTTTTTAGTATCGATAAAAAAAAAAAAATGGTTCCATAAAACATTGATGGGAAAATGGGCTACCTCTGCACCACCACTCTGGCAGAAAGCGCTGTGGAGCCCTTTAACTGTGCGTGCAGCACCAAATCTGTATTTGAGGCAGTCACAGTGGAAGAAAACCCCAAACAACATGGATAATAATACCTCATCAATATTTTCTGATGAAAATATACAGCACTTGCTGTTTTATCTCATCATTTGATTTTGATAGCTGGGGAAAATATGGCAATATATAGTGATACTGCAATATCGTGATAATATCGTATCGTGACCCAAGTATCGCGACATGTATCGAATCGCAACACTCAAGCCAATACTCACCTCTAATAACCACACAGGTCGGGGCGGGGGGGGGGGGGTCACATCAGATGAGTATTGTGGCTCCAAGGTGAAAGTGTTCTGTGGTTTTTACCTCCTGGACAGAGCAGCCATAAATGCTTTGGTTTTGTTTTGGAGCTGTTTGAACATCATGGTCTCACTCAGTGATTTTTATCCTCCAAACTTCCAGCCTGTGTAGTAAAACAGTCTTATTTATTTAACTGATTGATTTTAATGCAAATTTAGACAACAAATAATATTAGCATACAATATACAGCCTTTAAAATCTATATTAAACCTGTTTTTAGGGCTACACATCCACACTGGGTTTATATCGCACACTAGAACTGTTTCAGTTGATGACATCATCTCTACTCTTGCGTTTTATTGGGGGGAAAAGTCGCCCGTAAAACTGATGTCCAGCGGGAGTTGTGGCGATAACCTGGAAGCTGCGTCACTAAACCTGGAGTCAGGAATGGCTTCATTTCCCAGTTAGTCGGTCTGGATCCATGACATAGAGACATCCGGTCCGCTTCTTCTCAAACTGAACTGTTTCTCTTTCTCTCCTCAGGGCGAGTCAGTCAAGTATTTCCTGGATAATTTGGAAAAGCTTGGGCAGTCGGTAAGTCAACCCCCCCCCCCCACGCACACACATAACAATTGAACAAGTTGACCTGTGATTAGAGCGAGAAGTGAATGCTTCGTCTTCCTACCTCAGTCTTTACCTTTAAAACATAATGATGATCATTTTTTATCTCATCAGTCTGGAAACATGGAACAGACCAAACGTTTGGACAGCTTCTCATTCAAAGAGTTTTCTTTATTTTCATGACTGAAAATTGTAGATTCACCCTGAAGGCATCAAAACTATGAAAGAACACATGTGGAATTATATACTTAACAAAAAAGTGTGAAACGACTGAAAATCTGTCTGATATTCCAGGTTCTTCAAAGTAGCCTCCTTTAGCTCTGATCACTGCTTCGCTCTCTCTTTCATTCTCTTGATGAGCTCCCAGAGGCCGTCACCTGAAATGGTTTTTCCATCGTTCATGAAGGAGTTCCCAGAGATGCTGAGCACCTGTTGGCCCTTTGCCTTCACTCTGAGGTCCAGCTCACCCCAAAACCATCTGGACTGGGTTTCAAACCGGATGGAATAGCATGGCGCTGTAAGATGCTATGGTAGCCATGTTGGCTCAGTATACCTTCGGCTTTAAATCCCCACCATCAAAGCACCCCCACACCATCACACCTCCTCCTCCATGTTTCATGCTGGGAACCAGGCATGTAGAGTCCATCTGTTCATTTGTTCTGCGTCACACAAAGACACGATGGTTGGAAGCAAAGATCTCCAATCTGGACTCATCAGACCAAAGGCCAGATTTCCTCTGGTCTAAGGTCCGTTCCTGGTGTTCTTTAGCCAAAGCTAGTCTCTGCTTGTTGCCTTAGCAACGGTTTCCTAGCAGCTCTTCTACCATGAAGGCCTGATTCACACAGTCTCCTGTTAACAGATGTTCTACAGATGTTTCTGCTGCTAGAACTCTGCTTCATTGACCTGCTCACTAATCTGAGCTGCTGTTAATCTGAGCTGCTGTTAATCTGAGCTGCTGTTAATCTGAGCTGCTGTTAATCTGAGCTGCTGTTAATCTGTGGTTTCTGAGGCTGGTGACTCAGATGAACTTCTCCTCAGCAGCAGAGGCGACTCCTGGTCTTCCTCTCCTGGGGGGCTCCTCATGTCAGTTCATTTCTTTAAGGGCGCTTGATGGGCTTTGCGACTGCACTTGGGGAAACTTTCAAAGTTTTTCAATTTTTCAGACTGAATGACTTTCATTCCTTAAAGTAATGACGGCCGCTCGTTTTTCTTTACTTATCTGCTTTTTTTGGCAGTTTGTTCAGCAGGACTATCAGCTGTGGGTCCGCCTGACTTCTGCTCAACACAACTGATGCTCCCAACCCCATTTATAAGAAATCCCACTTATTAAACCTGACAGGGGACACCTGGGAAGTAAAACCATTTCAGGCGACCATTTCAGGCCTCTGGAAGCTCATCAAGAGAATGAACGAGTGAGCGAAGCAGTGATCAAAGCTAAAGGAGGCTGTTCAATGACGTTCCAAAAAAAGTTTCGTAAAGAAAAAACGTTCCTGTAGTGTTTTATTTAGCATTTTGTAAATCCTATTGAGTTCTGTTGGAATAGTCAATATCCCTCCGCCACCGGAAACGGAAATGGGGCCTGTTTACGCTTAGTTGTAGTCTTTTCGCAAGGCCCAAGTGTTTCTGCTTCACTCTGTGTACTCCGACGTCGAGGTGTTAACGTCTGTTAAACACTTTAAAAAACTCTGAAAATGGAATGCGAAAGGTGGATTCTTGAGGAGGACATATTGGACTTTGAGTTTGACGGTAGAGGATACCGTCGCCAACTAGTGGTCTGGAGTGTGCAACGCTTCAGATTCGAACGGGAAGCGGAAGTTTATAAGCGGTTGTGATGTATCGGAAAAAATAGTTCTGGGATTTACAAAATGCTAAATAAAACAAGACAGGAACGGTTTTTCTTCACGAAACTTTTTTTGGAACGTCATTGAACAGCGCTGACGACCCGGTGAGTAGCATATTTAAAAAAAAGAACGTTTAAGGTTGTTTTAAGGACATTATCGGACATGCACTATGGAAGCCATTCTGAAGCAGCCAGGGGGTGATTCTGCATGAGCCAAATAGCAGAGACAGGACCAATCGTCAAAATTTTGCGGTCGATCATTCGATTTCATCCTGGACACTACAGAAAATGGGCTAAAAGTGTTAAAAACCGGAATTTTCCTTTAATCTAATAGGACGTCAGAGTTTGAAGCCATACGCTGAAGGGAAACGCACTCCTGCAGTGGGCGGAGCTTTATGGACAGGATGCTCTCTGGGGATATTTTTCTGCGCAGGTCGACCTGAAACACACCTTGAGTGTCAACATCACGCTGGTTCCTGTTTTTCTATATATATCGGCGTTAGTGTCAACGTATCGGTCATTTTTAGGCTTATTGGCGTCGGTCTGATGGAGAACTAGGCCAATATCAACAACCAGTGATTATTTCCAGCTAGTTTCTGTGTTTGTTTCAGGAGGGGAAAGCAGTGACTGAAGCAGAGCAGCACTGCGGCGTCTCTCATGGCGTCCAGAGTAGGATCAGTAAACGTCAGCCATAATGTGAATATTGCATCCCTATTTCCAAAGTTGAATAAGTTTCTGTTAGAAGCCAGGAGAAAGTGCAGCAACCATGTTTCAGCCAGCTGACCTGCAGTGCAGAGCAAAGGCACTGTGAGAAGCCAAATTCTTGCTACGTTTTTTTCCATCTCAGTAATCGGCGGCCGCCATCTCTCGCTGCGTCAGCGGTCCAGCAACATCAGGGAGCCTCTGAGGGGTTTTCATCCAGCTGTGGGACTTTCCTGAACTTCTTCTCTGTTCCATACAGCTTCCATTCACCCTAGAAGGAAAGTCCTGATTCCTGTGGGTCTCTAATGTTGGGAGGACCCATGGAGGCCCCCTGCTCCTTTAAGTGAGCCTCTAAGACAGGGGTCGGGAACCTTTTTGACTCAGAGAGCCATGACAGCAAAATATCTGGAAATTTATTTCAGGGAGAGCCATATAACATATTTTAAGACTGAATTCAACTAAATGCGAGTATAATAAGCCTCTCAACTTATTTTTTAAATAATGTCGTTATAATACTCACCATTAATGCGACTTCTGGTGCTGCATGGATTTGCTGATGGCTTTGTAGTCTGATTGGTACTTGGTAAGGTTAAGCTTCATGCAAGCATTGAGGCTTTCATCCGTTAAACGTGATCGTAGGCTGGACTTGATGTTGTTAAGATGTGAGAATGACTGCTCACATGCATACGTAGATCCAAACATGGTCAATACAGCAATACTCACACGCTGCAGTGTGTGGTATGTGACAGGAAGCGCGTTCCAAGTTTTGATAATCAGCTGGTCTTCGGGTTGAAGTTTTTTCATTTCTGCCCACATGTGCTTGCTCGCCAACTCTGCTTTTTGTCGTGCAATTCTTTCCAAATCTTCATTCAGTGACTTGAACTTATTCACCCACATGTCTGAGGCCTTCAAGTCAGCCACTTCTGCTTCAAAATCTCTGACGGAGACACCAGGAATGTAACTCAGGTCGGCTGTGTTCAGTGAAGACTCGTTTGGATGGGTGATGAACTTGAAAAGCCGAGTGTGCTCACGAAATTCTCCAAAGCGTGTTTTGAACGACTGTAGGAGACTGGATGTGAAGCCAGCTAGCTGGCGGAGATCAAAGTTTTGAGTGGGCTCACTTGCTGTGCATGCATCTTTAAAATTTCTCAATTTTTCAAAATGTAGTAAACGACCTGTTTCAAGATCCATGATAAAGAGCTCCAGCTTGTTTTCAAAAGCAAACACGGCTTGTTGAAGGGATAAGACTGTATTTCCAGTTCCTTGCATTTTCACGTTGAGCTGGTTCAGATGTTCAGTCATATCCACGAGATAGTAAAACTTGAGGAGCCACTCAGTTTCGGCTAGCTCAGGATGCTCAATGCCTTTCATCGCAAGAAAAGTCTGGATTTCGTCCAGGCAAGCCGCAAAACGGCAAAGCACCTTCCCTCTTGACAACCAACGCACATTGCTGTGCAAAAGCAGACCATGATAGTTATTTCCAACTTCATCCAGCAGTGTTTTAAACTGGCGATCATTTAGGGCTCGGGCAACAATAAAGTTGATCACACGAATGACCAGCGACATCACTTCGCCAAGCTGCCCGTCACACATCTGAGCACAAAGTGCCTCCTGGTGTAGAATGCAATGGAAACTTAGGATGGGTCTATTTTCATGTTCACGGAGAAGCGCCACAAATCCTTTGTTTTTTCCCACCATACACGGCGCACCATCAGTACACACTGAGAGAAGTTTATCCATAGGTAGATTTTTTCTTTGAGCGAACTCCATGAAAGACTTGAATAAATCCTCACCTCTTGTGGATCCTTTTATTGGCAGAACAGCAAGACTTCCTTCGCACAGTGTGTCACCAGCAGGATATCTTGCAATCACACTGAACTGTGACAAATGGCTTGCGTCTGTTGACTCGTCCAAAGCCAGGGGAAAAAACAGCGCTGCCTTTATGTCTTTCACCTGCGTTTCCTCCACTTGATTTGCCATCATGATGGTGCGATCATGAACAGTTCTTGCCGACAGAGGCATGTCTTTTATCCGTTTGATTATCTTGTCTTTGTTCGGAAAATCATCAAAAAGTTCATTGGCTACATCCAGCATGAACGTTTTAGCATACTCGCCATCTGTGAATGGTTTTCCGTTCCTCACTATTGCTAAAGATCCAGCAAAGCTAGCGGAATTATAGTCACCTTGTCGCGTCCATACACGGAGCTGCTGCTGGCTAGCCTGCACGCTGCTCAGTAGCTCTTGGCACGCTTTCTTCCGGCTGTCCCCCGCCGGGTACTTTGACGCAAAGGTAGCATGGCGTGTGTCCAAGTGTTTTACATTCGACCGTTTCATCGATGCAATTTTGTCATTGCAAATAACACACTGCAGAACCTGCTCTCTCCACAAAGGCAAATTCTTCGGTCCATTCGTCCTGAAATGTACGATACTACTCGTCTTTTTTTTCTTTTTGCCATCTTCTTCGTTGAAGGGTTAGCTGTGAGCTACTGCCCGAGCAGACTGATTCAAAAGGGGGTTTACCCAGCAACAGTCCACGTAGGCTATTATTATCCAATTAAAATAATGGACTGCTCCTGCAGCCAATAGCAACCCTGAACAGGACATGAGCAGAGGAATACCGATGCATGGATTAAAACAGATTTTATTCTATCCAAATTAAATATTTTGTTTCGTCTGCGAGCCAGATGATATCATCCAAAGAGCCACAAGTGGCTCGCGAGCCATACGTTCCAGACCCCTGCTCTAAGAGCTGAAACGAGCCGAGGCTCTGAGCTGGAGCTTTCCACCAAAAACAGACAAATGAATGTTGGTTTTATGGATGGGAAACTAAGAGCCCGAGAAAGTCTCCTGAAAGGATCCTGTGGTCTGCATCAGGCTTTCATGATGTTTGCTGGTGAGATGCTAATATGAGGCCAGCAATGACCTCGTTCTGGGATTAATATTTATGGTGATGTTGAACGTCTGAGAGGAATGAATCTATCTTCAGTTATTCTCATCTTCTGTCCCCGTCGTCTTTCTTCCAAAACCTGTTTGTGGCTGACCGCTCCTTTCCACCTTAGAGTTAATTGTTCATCGCCTTTGCCTTTGGCCTCAAGCTTTATTAATAAGCTTAATGTCTTACCCTTCATACATGTATTATGGACCATGAGTTGATTCCCATTAACATCCATTCATTCTGTGCCATAACCCTATGATAACCCTAAACCGTTACCGGTGCACGCCCCAATCCGACCGTTACCGGTGCACGCCCCAATCCGACCGTTACCGGTGCACGCCCCGATCCGACCGTTACTGGTGTACGCCCAACAGTTACCGGTGCACGCCCCAATCCGACCGTTACCGGTGCACGCCCCAATCCGACCGTTACCGGTGCACGCCCCAATCCGACCGTTACCGGTGCACGCCCCGATCCGACCGTTACTGGTGTACGCCCAACCGTTACCGGTGCACGCCCCAATCCGACCGTTACCGGTGCACGCCCCAATCCGACCGTTACCGGTGCACGCCCCAATCCGACCGTTACCGGTGCACGCCCCGATCCGACCGTTACTGGTGTACGCCCAACCGTTACCGGTGCACGCCCCAATCCGACCGTTACTGGTGTACGCCCAACCGTTACCGGTGGACGCCCCAATCCGACCGTTACCGGTGCACGCCCCGATCCGACCGTTACTGGTGTACGCCCAACCGTTACCGGTGCACGCCCCAATCCGACCGTTACTGGTGTACGCCCAACCGTTACCGGTGGACGCCCCAATCCGACCGTTACTGGTGAATGGCAAGTCCACCCTAACCTACGCAAGTTCCAAACCAAAAATAAGGAAGCGAGGGCCAACAAAGTGTCCTCTCTCAATTTGATGATGAAATAGGAACAATGGTCGTCAGTCTACCAAGCAGGAGTAGGCAAAAACACTAAATGACTCTAGAGAGCAGTCCAATAAACACAGTGTGTTACTGACGGCTGTTTAAGGTTTAAGATAAATTCAGACTGGAAACTGGGAAAAGATCCATATTCCCAGTGTGATGTGTCATCAAAGGAATGCTTGAAAGGACAGAGACTAAAGCTCAGCAGCAGGAGAGAAGAATGAAGCTGAAGCAGCTGAGCCTGTGAAAGCTGACAGAAGAGCGACCATGGTTTATCATCATTTTCTTATTTATTTATTCACCTGGGAAGTGATTATTACAACATCTCACCTGTAACATTGCAGTTTTTCCATCTGTGGTGCTGTTATGGTGGTACCCTAGGATAGGAATCTGCCAACGTTTTCTGAAACAGGCTGCATTCCTGAAAGGCAGAGCAGAGCCGACTGACCAGAACACAGGCCCAAAAGCTTTTAGGTTAAAGATGGAGGGAAGTCATATTTAACTGTCAAATCATTCTGGCTTAAACATGTATTTAAATGTAATCTTTATCAGACCATATTGTCCCAAAAGTTAGAACATTTTTATTTAAAAAAAAATGTCTTAAAATCAGTGTTTCAGCCTGACGTCAGCCTGAACACCTAAATTCGGCCAATCATATACAGGTGCTGGTCATAAAATTAGAATATCATGAAAAAGTAGATTGATTTCAGTAATTCCATTTAAAAAGTGAAACTTGTATATTATATTCATACATTACATACAAACTCATATATTTCAGATGTTTATTTTGTTTAATTTTGATGATTACAAATGACAACAAATGAAAATCTCAAATTCATCATATCAGAAAATTAGAATATTGTGAAAAGGTTCAAAATTGATGGCCCCTGGTGCCACACTCTAATCAGCTAATTAACTCAAACCACCTGCAAAAGCCTTTAAATGGTCTTTCAGTCTAGTTCTATAGGCTACACAATCATGGGGAAGACTGCTGACTTGACAGTTGTCCAAAAGACGACCATCGACACCTTGCACAAGGAGGGCAAGACACAAAAGGTCATCGCTAAAGAGGCTGGCTGTTCACAGAGCTCAGTGTCCAAGCACATTAATAGAGAGGCGAAGGGAAGGAAAAGATGTGGTCGAAAAAAGTGTACAAGCAAGAGAGATAACCGCACCCTGGAGAGGATTGTGAAACAAAACCCATTCAAAAATGTGGGGGAGATTCACAAAGAGTGGACTGCAGCTGGAGTGAGTGCTTCAAGAACCACCACACACAGACGTATGAAAGACATGGGTTTCTGCTGTCGCATTCCTTGTGTCAAGCCACTCTTGAACCACAGACAGCGTCAGAAGCGTCTTGCCTGGGCTAAAGAGAAACAGGACCAAAGTCATGTTCTCTGATGAAAGTAAATTTTGCATTTCCTTTGGAAATCAAGGTCCCAGAGTCTGGAGGAAAAGAAGAGAGGCACTTCATCCACGTTGCTTGAAGTCCAGTGTAAAGTTTCCACAGTCAGTGATGGTTTGGGGTGCCATGTCATCTGCTGGTGTTGGTCCATTGTGTTTTCTGAGGTCCAGGGTCAACGCAGCCACATACCAGGAAGTTTTAGAGCACTTCATGCTTCCTGCAGGTGACCAACTTTTTGGAGATGCAGATTTCATTTTCCAACAGGACTTGGCACCTGCACACAGTGCCAAAGCTACCAGTACCTGGTTGAAGGACCATGGTATCCCTGTTCTTAATTGGCCAGCAAACTCTCCTAACCTTAACCCCATAGAAAATCTATGGGGTATTGTGAAGAAGAAGATGCAATACACCAGACCCAACAATTCAGAAGAGCTAAAACCCACTATTAGAGCAACCTGGGCTATCATAACACCTGAGCAGTGCCACAGACTGATCGACTCCATGCCACGCCGCATTGCTGCAGTAATACAGGCCAAAGGAGGCCCAACTAAATACTGAGTGCTGTACATGCTCATACTTTTCATGTTCATACTTTTCAGTTGGCCAACATTTCTATAAATCCTTTGTTTTTATTGGTCTTCAGTAATATTCTAATTTTCTGATATGATGAATTTCAGATTTTCATTTGTTGTCATTTGTAATCATCAAAATTAAACAAAATAAACATCTGAAATATATGAGTTTGTATGTAATGTATGAATATAATATACAAGTTTCACTTTATAAATGGAATTACTGAAATCAATCTACTTTTTCATGATATTCTAATTTTATGACCAGCACCTGTATCAACGGTCATCTGTCAATCAAATGTTTTCGGTCATAGCATCTTGATTCATATGTCGCAGCTAATATACGCAACGGTTGAAATCAGAATCCTTTCCTTTCCCATTGAGTTGCGTCCCAGTGTTCACGGGGATGGACGTCTGTGTCTTCGGCAGGCGTAGAGCTAACAGAACTGGCAGCGTTGCGAGGCAAGGGCTCAAACATGTACGGCTGGAAGCCTTCTACACCAAACCAAGCTTCTGCCGCCCTGGCGTCCTCTTCCACAACATCTTCGTCCCCGCTTTCCTCCTCTAAATAAAAAATGGATGACGGAGGAGACTCATCCACGACCTCCGACACTAAACTCTCCTCCTCTTGCATGTTTCCGCTGTCCATAGCGTTCCTTGACAGTGTCGTTTCTAAGTCACCAATTTAGTGCTACTTGGTCCCAATGGAATTCCCCATTGAGAAACTGCTAGCACTAAGATGCTAACTGGTTAGCAAGATGCTTCCAGCAAATCGGCCACAACCAAACTTGCTTGTGAACCTTCCGCCACAACAATCCCGCCCCCTTGATAATCGACCAATCACATTCACTTTATTCACTCGTGTAAAGTCGGCACCACTGGGAGAATTCAGAAATGCAACGGTTGGAACAGCCGCTTCCCTACGACTTTAAAAATAGATTTGCTACATATGAAAATAAATTTGACAAATAATGCTTTTTAAAGCTACATAAGCCAAATAACAACATACCAAATAAATCCTGTAAATGATTGATGTTTTTAGGAATCCTGTCGGGTCTAAATGCAACGCTTTCCTTGCAGGACTACCTCCCCAGCCAGCAGGACATCCTACTGGCCAGGAAACCAACCAAGGGTATCCACGAGTACAACTTTGAGATCAAGAACGTTCCTTTCAAAATGGTGGACGTTGGTGGCCAGCGCTCGGAGAGGCGGCGTTGGTTTGAATGCTTTGACTCGGTCACTTCCATCCTCTTCCTTGTCTCCTCTTCTGAATATGATCAGGTGAGATTATGTTGGGGTCATTATGAAGTGCTCTATATCTCTATAACGGTTTTTTTCATGTTCAGAGGTTGTTTAGTAGGACTCTTTGCTCAATTTCACAGCTTTGATGCCTCACTAAAGGCAAACACTGACATGATGGACTGAAGCCACCTTCCATCTAAGACCTCCTACCTTCTTATTAATTCATTTTTTTTCTGGGGGGCTATGTTGTTTAATGCAATATACAGAAAGGAAGTAATCAGTTCAACAAGATCATCAACAAGAAAGGGAGGAAATTAAATGGCTGCCCTCAGCAATGTTTTTCTGTTATAACAGATAAAAAAAGGGAACAGATACTAATCCAGTGCTATCTGATGATTTGCTAAAGTGAAACCTTCTTTTAGAGAATTAGAGAATTTTGCTAAATAAAATGTGAAAGTCATTGCTCATTTCTACACAATCAATGCCAAATGTGAGGACAAGGTCCAAAGTATGAAGATGAGAAGGTGTCTGTCTATGCACATTTTGATCAAAGCCAATCAAGTCTAAGATGCCATTAGAGGCGGGATAAGCTATCGCCTTTAATGTCTGCAATGAGATAGCTGCTAGTTTAAGTCCTCATAGAGTGTGTCAAACCCGAATCAGCCAGCTTTTGTTCTGTACTGTTTGCAAGCCGGTTTCCAGGTTTGCTAATGCTAACCTTCAGTGGGGTTTTTTGTTTAAATGTTTTGGCTTGAATTTGAGAAATGTAAGGCTGAGAAGAGGCCATTTCTCAGAGCTGATGCAGAGCTACTAGAATGTGGCAAACCCTGAGCTCCATCACCCAACCTACTATTCCTATCCACGCAGAATCCTGGTGTCAACGTTGGCATGGTAACCAGTAGTTAAATTAGAAATTTTAAAGCAATAATGTTTTCACTAAAATAAATTTTTCTTCACTAAATAATCTGTGGAGGTATACTTTTTTTTATGAGTTGTTTTTTTTTCTTCCTCACTGTAATAACCTTTAGTATTTAACACTGACTCAGAGAGGAAGTCTGAAACAGAAGTTATTTGTAGCGCTTTAACATTTATATTGAGGATATTTAGACTTGAAATTCCAAGAGAAATTGAACTATTAATGAGTTTTTGACTGATCAGTAAATCAGAATACTGTGTGCAGAATTATTAGGCAAGTTAGTATTTCCACCACATCATCGTTTTCATTCATGTTATCCTCCTCCAAGCTGTAGAGGCTGGAAAGCCAACTACCAATGAAGTAAATCAGGTGGTGTGCTTCTCTGTAATGAGAAGGGGCGTGGCCTAATGACATCAACACCCTATATAAGGTGTGCTTAATTATTAGGCAACTTCCTTCCTTTGGCAAAATGGGTCAGAAAAGAGATTTTAAAGATTCTGAAAAGTCAAAAATGGTCAGATGTCTTCCAGAGGAGCAGCAGTTTGGAAATATCCAAGCTTCTGAAGCGGGATGATCGCACGATCAAGCGGTTCATGGCAAATAGCCAACAGGGGCGCAGGAAGCGTGTTGAATAAAGAAGAGGCAAAATACCTACCCATGAATAGAGAAGGACGCGTGAAGCTGCCAGGAAGCCATTAGCCACCAGTTGGGCCATATTTCAGAGCTGCAACGTGTCTGGAGTTTTCTGGGTTGATTGAAAACACAATTGTGGCCCAATAATAAAAATAAAAATGCAACTTGCCTAATAATTCTGCACACAGTATAAAGATTGTTTCTACTCCTTCTGCAGAGAATTTCTTGCCCTGTAATACGTGAACAAGTTGACCGATTTATTCTGACATAGTCCTCTTGCTGCAGCCAGGTTTCTGTGAGACAACAAGCAATTCAATTATTACAAATTACAAAACTATTTGTGAAGGGAGATTTTATATTCATTAAACAGCTTTCTGTTCATTTTTGCTGAATTGGAGAGATTATTTTTATGTTATGATTTATTCCGTCTTCCTGCTTCCGCTCTGATCCCTTCAGGTGCTCATGGAGGACCGGCAGACAAACAGGCTGAGCGAGTCGCTCAACATCTTTGAGACCATCGTCAACAACAGGGTCTTCAGCAACGTCTCCATCATCCTGTTCCTCAACAAGACGGACCTCCTGGAGGAGAAGGTGAAGCAGGTTTCTATCAAGGACTATTTCCCCGAGTTCTCTGGCCATCCCAGCAGCCTGGCTGACGTTCAGAGCTTCCTGGTCGAGTGTTTCCGCAGAAAGCGCCGCGACCAGCAGCAGAAGCCCCTCTACCACCACTTCACCACGGCCATCAACACGGAGAACATCCGGCTGGTGTTCCGGGACGTCAAGGACACCATCCTGCACGACAACCTGAAGCAGCTAATGCTGCAGTGAGGGAGCAGACCGGGACTCGGACCTGAACCCGGACCGGGACTCGGACCTGAACCCGGACCGGGACTCGGACCTGAACCCGGACCAGGAGGAGAACAGGAGCAGGTTTCTCAGTGCCTTCATGCATCCTTCTGCTCCTGTTGAACTCAGACTGTGTATTAAAGTCACCACTACTGCGGCCACGCCCCCCTCACCCTCCGCCTTAACGAGCTCGTTGGCTGTGACTGAGAGCCCCCCCTCACCCTCCGCCTTAACGAGCTCGTTGGCTGTGACTGAGAGCCCCCCCTCACCCTCCGCCTTAACAAGCTCGTTGGCTGTGACTGAGAGCCCCCCCACCCTCATTTGCTCCAGTGTTCCCAGTCTGTGCTGCTCTAACCAGTGTTACTGGGGGGGTTGCTGCCGTTTGCTCCGTCTTCCTTCTCTGATGCAGACAGGAACCGCCTGTAGAGTCTGGACACTGGGTGGGTGTGTTCTGATCCGGTTCCTCTGACTCCTCCTCCTCATGCAGTGTGTCCCGCCTTCTCTCATCATCAACCACTTCGCTGTGATTTGAAGCCAAATGGAGCCCAAAGGTTCTGATCCGATGTGTTTTCTGTGGGTGAGCAGACTTCCTGTGCTTGAAAAGCAGAAGTCGCGCCACATTCAACCCGGGTCCCGTTTAACCGGCCCGATCCAGACCCGAATCCTCCTGTTTCCACCTGCTGACAGCGGCAGGTCAGTTTTGGAATGAAAGGGGTTCTGGTTTCTGTTCCGGACCCAGAGCCAAAGTCCTCAGCCAAGAAGAGAAGGAGAAAGTTTCCTTTTTTGACCCGTTTGTAGGAGAAGCAGCATAGATGGGAGACGGGGAGTCGGAGACCTGAACGTTCCCTCTGATCCAATAGAACCTCTGATCCAATAGAAGCACCTACCAGGGTAAACTAAGCGCTGTTCTCCTTTGAGATGTCAGTCTGACCCGTTAGCCTCTGGTGCCGTGCGTCCTCCATCAGCCGGTTGGTGGACAGAGCTGGTGTTGTTGGATTAGTCCACTGGTTCTGAGAGATGAACCGTTTCTCCATCAGGACCTTTTATATGAACCACTAAGGTTCTTGGTAGGCCCAGTAAGTGCCTGCTGTCTTACACCATTGAGATGTTCTGAATGGTACCAGTACCTGACCCGCTGGGTCTTCCTCAGGCCCAGGTGGTGCAGGCTGGACTGCAGCCTGTATGCAGAGAAGGTTCTGGTCCTACTTCTGCTGAGTTTCATGGTCCCAGTGGAGTGGTTCCCCTCAGCAGAACCGGGTTTACCGTCATAGACCGTTCCCCTAAAGCTGTTCTGTTCTGTGGGATTCACTCTGAACTGGACCCAACCTGGAACGGGTCTCCATCTAAAAACCAAACATCTGTGGTTCTTCATCTCTGTCCTTCAGCAAGGACATGAAGGTTCTGGTCCAGCGGTTGGTGGAGAGTCAAACAACCACATGATGATGATGATGATTGTCCTTCATCCAGCCTCCATTGGTCTTATGCGACCTGCTGGTACCGGTTTCACACTGTGAGAGCTCCACCCAGCCTTCCTGTTATCCGCTCTTCCTCACACCCTGAAGGAGCTGCAGACACACAGAGGTTCTGCAGAACCACCAGCCTCTTTCCCAGCCCTTCCACACTGAAGAGCGTTAAGCAGCTGCTTGGTGACAAATGAGGTCACAGGGGGCGGAGTTTAGACCTGAACCAGGTGGAGCTCGGTTCTGGTCACCAGCTGAGGGTTCCATAGTGGGCTCCAGTTCTCAGGAGCGGTCCGGTTCTGGTTCCTTTAAGGTTCCTCCTGTAGATCATCTTGGTCCCTTAAAAACATTTTCATCCAGAAGCCGACGGACGGCCTCACCGAATCTTAAGGTCAACATGCGTCGTTCCCATAGCAACGAATGGAGGAAGTGGAGAAATCTGTCGAGAAACGTAGACGAGCAACTGAGTCCCGTATTTCCTGGCGGGTCACTCTGCTCAACGCTCCACTTCCTGTCTGAATGTTCGCCGTCTGGAAAAGGCTCCCAGTTTTCAGAGCTGCCGCTTCCCAGCGGACCCCAGAAGCTCTGATTCAGGTCAGAAGGCTCCATCTTCAGGTCCTCCATGCTCCTCCGTCTCCCCTCGGCGCGGCGTCCTGAAGGAGGCGGAGCTAGAAGCTCCTCTGGTTTCTGACTGAAGGTTCTGATGGCCATCTGCTTTAATTAACCTATAAACTAGCTGCCCTGACGTCAGACAAACGGCTCCCTCTGGTGGACAATCAAAGTGCTTTATCTCCCGTCTCCATGGCAACGGGGTTTCCTCTGCAGACTGTAGCCTTATGCCGTGCTGCCTTCCAGATGTTGCCTTTGAACATTTCTGGGTTCTGGTTTGAGTTGGACTCTATGAGCCGCCCAGTACAGCAAACAGTGTTAGCTTCAGTTTATCTTTGTCTGTCGCCGTGACGATGATGCTACCACTAAATACTGCCACTTTGGGTTTGTTCTGATCCGTCTAACTTATTCTGTCTTAACCTCCTCAATAAATCTGCAGATTTTAACACTCCTCCTCTCTGGTCCTTGGATTTAACTGCAGATAAAATCTGACTAAAGACTCCAGATGGTGAAACTTTATAATTTTATATCACATGAAAGGAAAAGTTCACTTATATTGAGAATTCAAACTTCTGAAAGTTCTTTAAATCTGAAATGATTCCATCCTGTTCAATAAATGATCAGTGTTTTTAATTCAGAGTAATTTTCATGTGAATGTGCTTTACTGGAGGCATCCATGTTTGTCAAAGAACACTACTGCCACCTACTGGTTAGTGACGTCACGGTGCGGTATCGGCTGTTGATCAAGTCCCAGTGCTGTATCTGGTGTTTGTCACAACGCGCTATTATCCAAGTCATCTTGAAAACATTCTTCTTCCAAATGTTGGCTACATATTACGGGTTTTTTCTCTTCAAGTTGGCGATCCAACGACCAACCTGTCCGTGGAGGATCAGGAATCAGAAAGGTGGAATAACTCTGTGACGAAATGTCAAGGCCAGGCTAGAGATGTTTCTTCTATTTTGAGAATAAAGTCATCATAGAACAAGCCGTTCATTAAGAAAGCTTGGAGCTCCGCTCAGCAGATGACGGCCGACCAGCTCCACCAATCAGCAACCAGAGTCCACTTTGACATCCTGCCCAGTTAGATGCTGCTGCTAAAAGATTTCCTGATTTGTCAAACCGATGCTAAAGTAGAACTTCCCATGATGCTTCACATTCCTCATTTTAGGGAAGAAAGGGCTTCTTGGAAGAGTTGTTATAAAATATAATTTGTTTCTCGTAATTATAAGACTTAATTCTCTTTTATAAATTTCTCATAATTTTACGACTTTATTCTTGCAATGTTATGGAAATAACGTTCAAATAGAAAAGAAGAAAAAAAAAATCTCTAGCCTGGCCCTAATACTCTATCGTAAACAACATCCAACTGCCAACTATATCTAGCATTTTTTACTGATTAGCTCTAAATGTATCAAATCACAGCGAACGTTTTAGTTTTAGGTATAATGATCCATTGATCGTTCCCTGCTGACCGGACTTCTCCTTTAAAACCAAGCATCCATCCACCTCTAAGATGATTTAAATTAGACAAACTTTGCCCCAAAAATGGAGCTTTTTATTTCAGAAAAGAAGGTTCACCCCACCCCCCCACCCCCCCCCCAAATGGTTAAATAAGCTATGAGTTCGCAGAGTAGGGGCCAGGACCCCCATGGGGGGTCTCAGGAGGGTTTCTACGGCTCTGTGATCTCTGAGGATCACAAACACATCATGAACTTAGTAACACTGATTTATCTAAAACATGATTTAAGTATTAAATCAAATCTTTATATTTATCCACAAAATGAAATGTCCAACTGAGTCAATAAATAATGATCATCATTATTGATAATCATTTATGATGATCATTTAAAGAATAATTTTCTTAAATTATGAAGTCAAATAAGAAAAGAGAAGAAAGGAGGGGGAAAAAAGGACCAGTGCACCGTTTCACACGGACCTATAAGAGGGACGGACAATGGAGGAAGGAGCAGAAGGACAAAAGTTTGGGACTCAGAGGTCCTGTTGGATCTGGATGAACCTGTGGACGGGCGGAGAGGTAGCCGGTTTTTACCTGCTTCTGGACTAATTGTAAATATATCCTGACGATCACTAAATAAATGGAGGATAAAAGGAAGAAATCTGTGTTGTCCTTTGAGTTAAACCCTGTTGAACTAAGTCTGCATCTATTTATCCCTTTTCAGGTGGGGAAGCTTCATAAGATAGAAGAGAACTAGAATAAATGATTGAGTTCAGTTTGTTAGAGTAAACATAAAGTGGTTCCATGTAGTTTTAGAGGCTGCTCTGTTTTCTGGGTCAAAGGATGAGATGTTTGGGAAGCTCTGATCCAGTCTTCACTTCAGCAGATAGAAAATACTTTAGCATTATTATTTTTTGAAGATTGGATTTTCAATCAAAATCATTTTTAGAGAAATAAAGACCTGAAATGTTGATATAACTGAGAAACATTGAACCCGTTTTTCTAAACCTTCCTGTTCTTATTCAGCCTTTTCAACCTGAAGGTCAAACTCAGTTTCATTCTGGTTTTTATTGCTCCATCATGTGTTGCAGAGTCGATTCCATGGTAAAACTTACTGGTTGTACTGGTTTCCTAAAGCCTGACTGGAGCCGTTAAGTTATGCAGAACCTGGATGACGCTGTCCGTGGTGCTGAAATCAGTACCAGAAGTGGAGTCAGACTCGCTGCGACTGTTTTCAAAGCTTTATTTAAAAAAGACAGATGGTTCAGCTCTTTACACCAAGTTACCTGCCTGGCACTTACAAAGTTTAAAATAAAAAAACATCAAATAAACACTTTAAATAACAACAAAGGAACCTTTTCTATCTAAAGTTCAAGTTGCAGAGGATGAAGGTGCTTCAAACATCATTTACAGGTTTATGTTCCCGATGATCCACACTGATGATCTGTGGTTTTATTTCAGCACGATGATCTTTTCTCTGGTTCCTCAGGAAATGTTCAATGATTTGTTTTTTTTTTTGTTCTAAAAATGTGCTGCATGACCCAGCAGAACCAGAGCAGAACCACAGCAGAACTGGAGCAGAACCAGAGCAGAACCGGGCTGGGAGGAGTTTATTCAGGACTAAATGTTCAGGTGAGCCTAAAAGAAGCAGAAAGTCTGATTGGCTCCAGCGACGGAGAATCGGTCGGACCGAAGCGGACCCCGGTTCTCTGGCGCCAT